TCTGGGAATACAGGAGGAGCCTCCGAGCCCAACCCTGCCCACTTTTTATTAGGGCTGTTTATTCATGTCTTTTGCCCACTTTTTATTAGGGCTGTTTGCTTTTTTCTTTTGGCACAGTTGAGTTCCCTGTAGATCCTGGATGCTAGGCCTTTGTCAGACATGCCGTTGGCAAATATCTTTTCCCATTCTGTGGGCTGTCTCCTTGCTCTCTTGAGGGTTTCTTTTGCTTGGCAGAAACTTTCCAGTTTGATGAGGCCCCATTTGTCTATCTTATCTCTTATGGCATGGGCTTTTGGGGTTTTATCAGGAATTGGTTGCCTATTCTGATTTCCATAAGGATGTCTCCTGTGATTTCTAAGGTTCTTTTAGTTTGAAGTTTTACGTTTAGGTCTTTGATCCTTTTAGAGTTGATTTTTGTGCATGGTGATAGGCAGGAGTCCTGTTCGTTCTTTTGTATGTGGTCAGCCAGTTTTCCCTGCACCTTTTACTGAATAGGTTCTTCTCTCCTCAGTGGTTGTTGCTGGACACTTTGTCGAAGATGGGGTGGTTGAGAAATTGAGATTTTGCTTCAGGAAACTCTACCCCATTCCATTGGTCCATATGCCTGTTCTTGTACTAATACCAGACTAATCTGATTATTGCAGCCTTATGATAAAGTTTTTCTTTTTTTTTTTGGAGTTGGAGCCTTACTCTGTCACCCAGGCTGGAGTGCAGTGACCGCTCCCGGCCACCGCAGCCTCGACCTGCTGGGCCCCGGCGATCCTTCCGCCTCAGCCTTCCCAGTAGCCGGAATTACAGGCATGCGCTACCACGCCCGGCTGATTTTTGGATTTATGGTAGAGATGAGGTCTCGCTGCCCAGGTGGGTCTCGAACCCGCGGGCTCAGGCCATCCACTCTCCTCAGCCTCCCAAAGGCGCGGGATTACAGGTTGAACCACCGAGTGTGATAACTCCTGCTTTGTTTCTTTTGCTGAGGATTGTTTTTGCTATTCGTGGATGTTTATGTTTCCATATGAATCTCTGTATTGTCATTCCCAGATCCGAGAAGAATGATGTTGGTTACTTAATGGGTATAACATTGAATCTGTAGATTTCCTTGGGTAGGATGGACATCTCAACCATGTTGATTCTTCCAATCCACAAGCATGGAATATTTTTCCATTTGCTTGTATTGTCTTTGATTTCTTTGAGCAGTGTTTTGTAGTTTTTTGTTTTGCTTTGGTTTGAGTTAGAGTCTCCCTCTGTTGCCCAGACTGGAGTGCAGAGGCACGCTCCCAGCCACCGCAGCCTCTACCTGCTGGGCTCCGGCGATCCTTCTGTCTCAGCCTTCCAGGGAGCCAGAATGACAGGTGCGCGCTACCACATCCGGCTAATTTTTGATTTATTGTAGAGACGAGGTCTCACCAAGTTGCCTGGGTGGGTTTTTATAGTTTTCATTGTAAAGGTCTTTCACTCCTCTGGTTAGGAAGATGCCAAGGTATTTCATTTTTTTGTGGCTATTGTGAATGGGATTGTGCTTTTTATTTGGTTCTCTGCCTGTTTTTGGTTGGTGTATAAGAATGCGACTGTCTTTTGCACGTATATTTTGTACCCTGAGACTTTGCCGAAGTTCTTTATCAATGCAAGGAGGTTTTTGACAGATTCTCTTGAATTTTCTTTGTATAGGATCATATCGTCAACAAGGAGGGATAAGTCAACTTCCTCTTTTCCTACTTGGCTACCTTGATTTTCTTCTCTTGTCTGACTGCTCTAGCTAGGGCTTCCAATACAATGCTGACTAGAAGGGGTGAGAGTGGGCAGACTTGTCTTGTTCCGGTTTTCAGGGGAAATGCTTCCAAATTCTGTCTGTTTAGCAATATATTGGGTGTGGGTTTGTCATAGATGGCTCTTATTATTTTGAGGTGCGTTCCCTCTATGCCTGGGTGTTCAGAGGTTTGTTTTTTTAAAAAAATTAAGAATGGATGCTGGATTTTATCAAAAGCTTTTTCTGCATCTAATGATATAATCATGTGGTTCTTTTTACATGTGCTGATGTATTTCATTACATTTATGACCTTGCAGATGCTAAACCAGCCTTGCATCCTGGGAATGAAGCCTACTTGGACATGGTGGACGATTTTTGAGATATGTTGTTGGATTCGGTTTGCTAGAATCTTGTTGAGAATTTTTGCATCTATGGTCATCAGGGATATAGACCTGTAGTTCTCTTTCTTTGTTGGATCTTTAATCGTTTTGGGTATCAGTGTAATGTTAGTTTCGTAAGATGATTTGAGGAGAATCCCGTCTTCCTCGATTTCTGGAACACTTTCAGTAGGATTGGGATCAGCTCCTCCTTGTGTGTTTTGTAGAATTCTGCTGGAAAGCCATCTGATCCAGGGATTTTTTTGGTAGGTAGCTTTCTAATGATAACATCAGATTCCTGGGTTGTTATTGTCTGTTTGAGGTCTTAACTCCTTCTTGTTTCAACTTTGGGAAGTTGTGTGAAGTCCAAAAGTCCTCCATTTCATTGAGGTTATTGAGCTCGTTCCCATACAGGTGTTTCCATCCAGCACAGTAGACTCTGATAATCTTTTGTATTCCTTTGGGGTCAGTGTGACTTGATTGTATTTCTGATTGTGTTTATTTGGGCTTTTTCTCTCTTTCTCTTGGTCATTCTGGCTAGGCGTCCATCGATCTTGCTTATCCTTTCAAAGAAACAGCTTTTTGTTTCGTTGATTTTTTTTCTATGATATTTGTACCTTCTATGTCCCATATTTGGGCTTTACCTTGGTGATCTGGATTCTTCTGTTGAAGGTAGGGTTTTGGTGGTCTTATCTTTCCAGCTCCCTTAGGTGATTTGTTAGGCTGTCAACTTGTGATCTTTCTATTTTCTTGATGCGTGTTCAAAGAGATAAAAATTCCCTTCTTAGTGCTGCTTTCATGGCATCCCAGAGGATTTGGTAAGATGTGTCTTTATTTTCATTTGTTTCCAGGAATCTTTTAATTTCCATTTTGAGTTCTGCATTGACCCAGGAGTTATTCAGCATCATGCTGTTTATGTCCATGCCTTTGTGGGTTTGGGGGAATTTTGTTGGTATTGATATTCAGGTTTTATTCCATTTGTGGTCTGACAAGGTGCATGGCAGCATTTTGATCTTATGAAATCTGTTTACGCTTGATTTCTGGCTGAGGAAGTGGTCGATCTTGGAGTAAGTGGTGATGTGGTGATGAGTAGAATTTATATTCTGTGGTCGTCGGGTGGAGTGTTCTGTAGGTGTCTATTAATTCCATTTGGCCGAGCATCAAGTTGAGGGACTGAATCTCCTTGTCGACTTTTTGCCTTGATGATCTATCGAGGGTTGAGGCTGGCTTTCATTGCAAGGTGCCACCTGGGAGCAGGTCTATAGGCCAGGGAGACCGACAGCCTCACCCACCCCAACTACTAGGGCTCCCGAAAGTGCCCAGAAAGAACTCGTGAACCACAGAATGGTGACTGGTCACTTCTTCACACCGGCCACCTTCCGTGTGACATTGCGGGATGTTCTGTCTTCTCTTGGAAACCCGTCTGACCCTGTGTGCTTCTGGGAGGGCAGGATGGTGGCTTCTCCACAGCACCCTCCAAGGAGTACCGAGGGCGGAGAGCTGGGTATTAATATTAATATTAAAGCTCGGAACGGGCAGCGTCTGGGAAACCCAGGGCTGGAGCCCTGCCACTGGGTTTTGGGCTGCTGCCACCCAGGGAGGCCCTGTGGCCTGATGTCTTGCTTTTGCTCTGAGAGTCAGCTCTTCTATCAGGGTGTGGGGCCAAGAGGAGAGTCCTTGGAGGCAACTGCTGGCTCTCCAGCATAACTCTCTCTGTCCAGCTTCTTCCCATGTCAAAGAGTGTGGGAAAGCCCTCTGAAGTGGTTGGGAGCACTGGCACCCAAGAAAAGGAATCTTTGGCTCTGATAGGAGCAGGGGCTGGGCAGGAGGCTAGGAGACACCCTCGGGGCATGGTGGAGACCCCTCAAAGGGCACGAGCGGCCTTTGCGGTGGGACTGTCTTGGCCCACTGTGCGGTGTCCAGCTCTCAGGACTCAGAGGATGGGGCCTGACCGCTGTCACTGCACCAGCCGGGAGGAGGCTGAGTGCTAGGAGGGCTGCCTGCATGGGTGACACCATTAGAGTCAGGACGGCAGCCAGCGAGGGTTGGAAAAATATTCTGTCCCCGCACACCGGTCCTGGCCAACTGGCGTCCTGGCCTCCCCAGCCCAGACTCCCTTTGGCCAACAATGCCCTCCACCACGATCTCCTTGGTTCCACCGCATTTCTTTCATCTGTGACACACGATGCCCCTGACTCACCGCCTTTGTGTACACCAAGCCCCCCGGCCCGCCTCTTACCCCCTCGGCCGTGCTATTCAGCATCTCACGGCACTTGCCATCATCTGCTCCGATTCTGCTTATTCACAGGTTTTGTTTTATTGCTTTTGTAGGGAGGTCTGTCTCCCCCACGCCCAATAGGCCAGGGACCTTGGTCGTCTGACTACCCCTAGCCAATATGAAGTGCTCAGTACGCTTTTGTTGAATGAAGGGAGGATTTCATGCAGCTGCTGAGATATGGGATGCCAACAGGTGAGTTGGCCCAGGTGTCGCGCTCACGTGGGGACCCTACAGGCGGGCGGGAGCTTCGCTGCCAGCTGAGTCCACACTCTGGTTTTACCGGGTCAGTACGTCAGTTCTGCAGTAGAGGTGCCCTGACCTACAGGACAACATTTCCAGGGACTCCAGGGAGTGGACACAGGCCAACCCAGCAATATTCTGGGAAACTGGCCACCTGGGAGGATTTGTGGGAAGGGCACTGGCGAGGGTTCAGGGCATTGGCTTGTGGCCAGGATCTCTGTTGATGGTTTGGTGGTGAGTCTCAGAAGTGACATCCCGGCCAGTGAATGCACCTCCGGTGGGGCCACGGGGACCCTCAGAACAGGATGAGACACGTGGCGTGTTACTTTCTGGACTGCATCAGTCAACGGGTCTTTCCCACCTAGGATTTGGTAGGGTTTTCAACTTTCCCTAGGAAGAGAATACAACCTGTGGCTTCACTGATAATTATCAGAAGGAAGGGTCTGTTGAAAAAGACGGCAGGAGAGGGGGGGCCGTCCTTTGACCGGGCTGCGAGCTTGGCGGCGGAGGCTGCCACGGCTTCAGTGCCCACCTCACTGACATCCAGCACAGCCTTGTAGGTTGCCTGCCAAGGAAAAACAAGCATCAGTGGCCCCTACAGAGACGGCTTTACCGAACGAGTTCTGGTGTTTTGCCGGGAGCGGCGATGCCTGCCTCGAAAGCCTTCCAGATTGGGGATGCCAAGCGCCTGGCACTGGATTTGCTCTGTACGTTGCAGCTGGGGTGGGCTACCGGCCCACTGGCCCTTGGCATGGGGTTGAATGGTTGCAAATACAGGGCAGAAAGGTCCGGGTTTGAGCCTCAGTTCTGCCACTTCCTCTTGCGAGAGTTACTTAGAGGTCACCTGCTTCTGTTCCCAAATCTATAAAAGTGAATAATAGCCGGGCTCGGTGGCTCAGCCTGTCATCCCGCACCTTTGGGAGGCTGAGGTGAGTGGACGGCCTGAGCCCGCAAGTTCGAGACCCGCCTGGGCAACGAGACCTCATCTCTACAATAAATCAAAAAATCAGCCGGGCGTGGTAGTGCATGCCTGTAATTCTGGCTACTCGGAAGGCTGAGGCGGAAGGATCGCCGGAGCCCAGCAGGTCGAGGCTGCGGTGGCCGGGAGCAGCCATTGCACTCCCCAGTCTGGGCGACAGAGTGAGACTCCAACTCAAAAAAATTAAAAAAGCGAATAATGATTATCTGTGGCCCACGAGGTTATGGGGGAAGCCAAAGGTGATTAGACAAAGCCAGTGCTCATGTTCCGGTGAGCAACAGTAATTGCTGCAACTCCTGCAAAGCTGGGACGTGGGCTGGTGTTAAGAAGGCTGGGTTCCTTCCTTGTCTTCTAGGGAAAAGACGTAACCTGGACTTCCTGTATGCCTGCACTTCAGCAAGGTTGTGAATGCTTGTAATTATAAGCGCTTTTTTATAGGAGCACAGAGGCATTTTCCTTGAAGAAAGGTACAGCATACCTACCGTATTCCAGTGGGGCTTTTTCTGCGTCCCCCCAAAACCAATGGAAAACCCAGGACTGCTTCTATTATAGCCCCTTACCAAAATAAAATTTTAGGTCAGGGATCAGAGTCTCACTCTGTCACCCACTCCCAGCCACCGCAGCCTCGACCTGTTGGGCTCCGGCGATCCTTCCAACTCAGCCTTCCGAGTAGCCGGAATTACAGGTGTGTGCTACCACACCCGGCTGATATTTGCTTTATTGTAGAAATGAGGTCTTGCCAAGTTTCCGGGTGGGTCTCAAACCTGTGGGCTCAGGCAACATACTGAGTTTTAAAAATCACCTCTCTCTCTCTCTTTTCTTAAACACCGAAGGCCAAACACACACCTGCAGGGTATCCATGGCCTACAGGCAGCCAGGTGACATCTGTGTGGGGACTTGAAGTTGAGAGGGGAGGTCATTGAGGTCAGACGGCACCTGCTTGGGGTCAGTGGCTGCCTGCTGAGGACACAGTGTGAAGAGGGACCCCGGGTGTGTCAGAGGCATGACGGCCGTGAAGCCACAGGGTTCGGCCAGGCTGTGGCCTCAGAGAAATCTCGGGGCCTCTCTTTCCTTCTCCATGGGGTGAGAATGCTGCACTTGCCCGTCTCTGCAGGCACTTCCAGCTCAGACTTTCTCGCAAATATTCATCTCAACCAACTCACTTTGGAAAGCTGCAGGAGGCCTCTTGTTGTGATTCCAGAAAAGTCAGCGTTCTTGCCAAAGGCATCATGGACGCCCATCTTCGGGAGGACTGTCTCCAGGCCATAGGAGGCGGACATGGAGAACCTGGGGAGGAACACGTGTAGCCACCTGTGGAAAGGGAGAGGACAGGTGAGCGCCCGTGCCCATGGCGTCTCCAGCTCTGCTTCCAGGTGCCATCCGAGGAGATGTCGTCTTTCCCTGGGCACCGCGGGTGGCTGCTGGGGTCGACATGTCCCAGGAAAACGACTCAGGCTGCCCCGAGAAGTAAGCTTCCAGTTGAGTGAGTCCAGCGCCACATTGTGCAAGACAGGAAGGGGCCCGAGGATGAGGAAGGTGTGGGGGGAGAGGCCGGCCCGTCAAGGAGCCAACGGGCGATACCCGTGGAGACGTCGACAGCAGTGGAATCTCATGGACCACCTGCCCCCCAGCCCGCCCCACGAGGAGCCCTGCTAAGCCCCTCGAGCAGCAAGACCCAGGAGAGCTCCCCAGGACGGGGGGAAGAGTCCGTCCTTGCCCATCCAGGAGGGGAAACCGCTCACAGGGGAAGGGAATCTTTATTTGCAGGCGATTTACATGTAGATGACCACATGAGGCTAGCGGTTCTGGCATTAGGCTGCCAACTCCAGAGTTCGGCGTGGAGTTGTCCTCCCGGGCAGTGATTTCTCTGGACCGACACAGCCCACATTTGTTGAGCACTTACTGTGTGTCGGACACGGTCCCAGGCCCCGTCGGTCACATCCCCCCATTTTGAAGATGACAGAGCTTGGCATCAGTGCTCTGCACAGGGTCTCAGATATGGAAGCCCAGCCGCGCGGGGTGGATCTGAAGGCGTCTTGCGCCCTTACGCCGTGGACAGCTCTCCTGTCGCTGTCCCCTGGCTCGTCTTGGCCTTGGTATCTCGTCTTCTCTCTGCTCATCTGCTGCTCTATTCCATCCTCCCTCCCCGCCTTCCTGCCGTCTCTTCTTCCTCCCCCAGCCCTGGCTGCCTTTGGAACCTCCTGCAGCCTCCCTGGGTCCTTGACTCTGTGTCTTTGCCAGGGCCGTGTCCTCTACCAAGACCACCCTTCCCAAGCCTCTGCGTGCTCATGTCCGATTCATACTTGTGGCCAAACGCCGCCCCCTCCTTGAAGCAGTTCCTCCATCCCAGCTGCCAGCGATCCCAGAAGCCCCTCGGCACACGGCCCGCCCTCCCCTGGGGCACCCACCATCCTCCTTCTGGAATCACAGTTGCCTTCCATCCTGCCTTTCCTGAGCTGCACCTGGGAGCGAGGCCCATGCTGCTGCGGCGCTAAGACGCCGAACATGAGACCTGGACGCGCTTCTTTATCTTCTGGCCTGCCCTTTTGCTAGTCTCCATATTCCTTTGAGGCGTTCCGTGATCATCACAGGACTGGCGAGACTCCTGCTATTTGCCAAAGTCCACTGAACGCCGACTGCCTCCTCTACCAGCAGTCCCCGGCCTTTTGGCATCAGGGACCAGTTTCCTGGAAGACAGTTTTTCCAGGGACCAGGGGTTGGGGGACCACCAGGCATTCGAGTCCCATAAGGAGCCGCCACTTCGATCCCTCGCATGCAAGTTCACAGCAGGGTTTGCGCTCCCAGGAGAAGCTGAGGCCGCCACTGATCTGACAGAAGACGGAACTCCACTCACCCACCACTCACCTCCGGCTGTGCAGCTTGGCTCTTAGGGGTAGGGACACCCGTCCTAGGCATCCTTCTAAGCCCTTCCGTAAATAGTAACCTATTTCATCTTTTCAACAAACTTTGAGTCAGTAATATTATTATCCTCATCTTATAGATGAACACCAATGCTTTCTTCCCTTTTTTTGCATTTATGAGATCATGCCACGGATTCCAACCTCAGGTTGACGTCGAGAGCAAACTCTGCTAGCTCACAGTAGCTCCAACAACACTGTCACCCTGCAGTGACATGAGCGCTCCGTGTCCTTGGGCAGCCCACCTGCCCTCACAGAACCTTGGCTTCGTTACCTGTGAAACGGGTGGCATAAGATGTCTCATCTCACAGGTGACAGTAAAGTTCACGTGAGGGCGTGTCGCCCAGCACCAAGCTCTCTCTTCTGCATGCAGTCGGTGCTCACTTGAGGAGTCAGGATTCATTGGCTGCCAGCACGGTGTCTCCCGCCCCACGGCGTGCACCCTCCCCTGCCCCAGGGCCCAGCGATGAGGCGCGCAGATGCCCACCTTTGCTGGAGCGAGCGGCGCCACCTCCTCAGCGTCCCGGCCGACAAGGCCTGCTCCAGCTGCCCCATCTTGCCCTCACTGGGGAGGACAAAGAAAGCCGCGGCGTCTCCCTGGTAGTCCATCCGCAGCACGGAGCAGTTCAGCCCCGGGTCCACCCCGAAGGCCAGCTGCTCCTCCTGGTGCATCATGGGCACTCGCACGGCAGCCCGCCCGCCTGCCAGGAATGGGAAGCTTTTGCGCGTGTCTGCAGGGCTGAAGGGCTTCTCCCACTTGGCTAAAAAAGAGAGCACAGAGGTCTTCAGGGCCAAGTGCAGTAAGTGAGGGGCGAGGCCCGCAAAGGTTGAACAAGGGAGGACTGCCGATGGAGTGGGAATTGCATAGCAGGGCAGTTACACAGCTGTGTGAACACAAGGAGATCTAAACTCACGGAGTCTTATGCTTTAAAATGGCCAACTTTATGATGTGTGAATTGCCTTTCAATCAAAAGTAGCGTTAAGTGAATAGAACCGCATTTATGAAGTGAAAGTCATTTAGGAAGGGCTCAAGGCGTGTCAGTTTTCCTTCTCTCTCTTCCCTCTTTGCAGGGTGGGTGGATAAACGGATGGATGGACAGATGATCGCTCAATGGGCGGGTGGCTGCCTGGGTGGATGAACTTGTGGGTGGACACGTGAGCGGACGGACGGACGGAGGGAGAGAAAAAGGAAGGGAAGAGTGTGGGGGGGGAAGAGAGGGATGCCGTGGCGGCATTGATGGCCACTCTGTCTGGAGGGTCCGGGCGTTTCTGCCTCAAGCACAGCCAAGCTGGCCGCCTCATCTGTCCACCCGGTCAGCACAGAGGCTGGCCCCGATCAGGGGCACATATGGTGGTAGATTTTTTTTTTGGAGTTGGAGCCTCACTCTGTCGCCCAGACTGGAGTGCAGCGGCCGCTCCCAGCCCCCGTAGCCTCGACCTGCCGGGCTCCGGCGATCCTTCCGCCTCGGCCTTCCGAGGAGCCGGAATTACAGGCACGCGCTTCCACGCCCAGCTGATTTTTTGATTTATTGTGGAGATGAGGTCTCGCTGCCCAGGCGGGTCTCGACCCCGCAGGCTCAGGCCATCCGCTCGCCTCAGCCTCCCAAAGGCGCGGGATGACAGGCTGAGCCGCCGAGCCCGGTGGTGGTAGATTTTTTAAAGCAACACGCTGAGGATCAGGAGCAGGTGTGAAATCCAAACCAGGGTGTCTGACTTCAAAGCCGATTCTCATTCCACTCCAACGCAGTGAACACGGCAAAGCTCTAGGCAACCATCTGGGGCTGTGGGAGGCTGTTACACTGGCCTGTCTACATTTCCACACCTGTGCCGGCGCCCTCACCCTTAGGTCTGCTTAAACCGGGCTGTCGGAGAGCTCTGTGTCCCCTCCTCCAGAACCTTTGGGGGCGGCTGCCGGAGGCAAGAGATGAGGCCCTTTCTTTCAAGCCAGCGTCCAGACCGCCCCTGTGGGCTGCCCACAGAGTCCAGCATCAGCCCTGAAACGCCAAACCAGTCCTTCAAAGACAGGGCTGAAGAGTCCCCGTTGCAACTGATCAGCCAAAGCCAGGACAGGGGACATGGGCTGTCCAAGGGCCTGCAGTTGGCTAGTTGCAAAGTGAATCAGAACCCAGGCCCTCCCATGACCCCACCCTGCAGGCTGGGATTCGTCTAGCTCGTGTATTGGACTAAGCAAAAAACAACACAAACCAAGCACAAGCAAAATCGAGCTCTCAGAGTCTCACCTTTAAAGAAAATGTGGTTCACCAGCACCATGGCCGTCAGAGGGTCCAGGCCTTGGATTAAGTCCACAACCTTCCCTTTGGTCTCCTTCTCCACGTAGCTGTTAATCTTCTGCTGGGCAAGGGCAGGGTTGGAGAAATCCGTAGGAAGGACCTCCGACGCGTACAGCTTCTCGACGTGGTCCAGGAAGCGTGCCTGCAGCGGCAGCCCCTTCTGGACGAAGAGGACGCTTCCCATCCGCAAGGCCAGGTCTTTGCTGGGCACAGCCAGAGAGCGGACCAGGCGCTGGAAGCCCTCGTGGATGGCGGACTCCGGCGTGCGGGTGAGGTTGAAGCCCAGGCTCTGGAGAATCTGGGTCTTGGTGGCCGAGCGGGCTCCGAGGGAAAGCATGGCCAGGGCAGTGGAAACACTTGTCGGGGACAGGAAGACGTTCTGATGCGGGGCCTCCGCGGCCAGCCTCCGATAGAGGCGGAAGGCAAAGTCGGTGTGGCAGGGGGACGCCTGGGAGGCAGGGGCGCTCTTTGTGGAGGAGGGGCCGGGGGAACCTCGGCAGGGGGCACTGGCCGGGGGCACGCCGAAGACGGGAGCACAGAGGCCGACGAGGACGAGGACGCCGTGGAAGGAAAGTGCCATTTCGCAGCAAAGCAAGTCTGCAAGAGAGGTGGGAGGCTGAGGGCCCGGTCCCTGGATCAGAAACCCTTCCACACGCCATGCCATCAGCAGCAGAATGAGGACATGGGACAATTAGCAGAGCCCGTCGTCTCATCTGAGCCTCACGATCGCCCTACAGGCAGGTCTCATTGCTGTCCTTGGTCACTGAGCCAACAGGCCCGGAAAGCTGTCCCAACCCACCCCGGGTCCCACGGGAGTCCAGGCTTCAAAGCCGGGCCCGGAACCCCGAAGCCTGTGCTCCTGGCTGCTTGTACTTCACGGACTTATTTTGAGACGTGAGAACGCCAAGCTGGGTGGCAAAGTCCCCAACTGAGCATCCAAAAGTGCTCTCTCCACCCCCCATCCCGATTCCTGACACATGGTGCGTGCGTTTTGTGCAGATCTGGTCACGTTCTGGCCCTGGCTACCCGTCCCCGGCCACAGGCGTCTCCCGGCGTGTTCCTGTCTCTCAGCAAGTGGGAACTCAGAGCAAAAAGCTGCCCTGGAACTGTGTTCTGCAGCCCCGTGCACCAGCGGCCGGCGGCTGACAAGCTCTCGCCATGACACCTGCTGCCCGCCCATGCCTTGGCCAGCAAGACTTGGCACCAGGGGCATTTCAGATTCAATACCCGCTGGACGTGGCAGACGCCAGGCGTTTTGCAGTAGGGGAGGGCTGGGCTGCATCCACCCTGCCACTCAGGACAGAGCCATCTCTCTGGACGTCATTCTCTTTTTCATGTTTGTAAGTCGGGGACGATTACTTACAGAGCTGGTCAAAGGCTTGAGTGAGCTCAGGTACCTGGGGTGCGCCGCTCGGAACCGGCATACCAGGGGTGCTAGTAAATGACTTCTGTGGTCTTGTGATTGAATTCAGTGGGAATTGGAAGGGGCAGGTCTTCCAAAGCATGTCTGGAGGCCTACCAGCCCCCCGGTCGTTTCTGCTCCAGGGTGAACGGCCGACACCCAGTCTTCTCCCAGGGGCCTCTGCAGGCAGTCTCCCTTCTGACTGAGAGGAGAGACGTGGCCCGCTAGGACAGGAATCCGGCCAGCCCACGGAGGGATGACTTCGCCAGAAACGGGGAGGACTGAGGGCCAGAGTCCCTTTGCCAGGAGCCACAGAGACCCTGGCCCCCGCGGTCCCTGGTCAGTGTCAGACCAGGCGGAGCATGGGAGCCACATCCCTGCGTCTCTGCATGGAAGCCGAATGGATGCAAACGGCATCGTGTTATCGCAGCAGATGGGATTAGACGCAGAAGAAACTCTGTGAGGAATTCTTCTGCTGAATGAGGAGGAAGTCGCAAAACCGAGAGTTTCTCTCCCTTTCTGTTTGTCCGGCTGGACCGTTTTCGTTCTGTGGTTCTGTTTTTCTCTCTACCTGGCACTCACACCCACCCGGCCATCTCCCGGACTCCGTCAGCACGTTCTGAACCGACCCTTGCCCCAAGCGTCCCCCTCCCGCTCCCTCCAAGAAGGCCACATGCCCCACGCTGCGCCCGCCGTGGCAGGAAGCCGGCCACAGCTCCTCGCTCCGACCACCCCGTGCCACCATTCCCCCTTGAGGCCCCCGGGCCCCATCTCCTCTCCATGTCCTGGCCTCTCCCTGGGTCCAGACCCTCCCTGTCTCTCCTGGGGATAATTCTGAGTCTCCTGGGGACAGTCCCGAGGCTTCTTCTCCCTCCCCAGCCATGTTTCTGCAAGTCGACCTTTCTCGGGGAGCTCCCCCGTTGGACTCTGCACAGAGGCCGTCTTCTGGGGGTGGAGGCGACCCCCTGTGGCGTGTGGCCTCAAGAATTGACTCCTCCCCGTGGGAGAGGGTGTCGGGCTGAAGGAAGAGCCTCTCGGTGCACAGGGGGCAAGGCGTCACTGCCAGGCTCCAGGACACCACCGGGCACCAGGTTGCCTATCCGGGGTCTGCGTGTCCTGGGGAGACGGGGTGCGGGTGGCTCTCAGGGGCACCCACTGACACCCACCGACACTCACTGACACAGCCTACTAGAGGACCTTTGACCCTCTGCCGGGCCTGGGCAAGCAGGGGGGCCACTGAACTCGGGAGGTCAGCTGGCAGGTGCCCTGGCCCCTCAGTGGCCCCAGCCAGCGGCCGCTTCTAGCAGGACCGCAGGGGGAGGGAGTGTCACAAGGCCTCTCCCTTCAGCATCTGGGCTTTGTGGCTGTGGCTTCAGGGGCCAGGGCGTCACACGCTTGGGGAAAACCCTGGCCGAGGCTCTCTCGGTCTGCTTTCCCATCCAGCACCTCCCACACGTGCCCCCAACCTCCTCCTGAGGCCACCCCCTTTCCCTGGTCCCTGCCAAGGCCTCCCCTCTCTCCACGCTGCCTGGGTCCAGCCTGGGGGCTCCGCAGGGTTGGCAGGAGCGCTCTGCGCCCCCGGAGCCCGCCTTGGGGGGCCTCACCCTCCCCGCCTCGGCCTGCCACCCGCCTTCCGCTATCTCCCACCCACTGCCACCTCCAGTCACGAATCCGCCCGCAGACAGGGTGTGCCACTCCCTTCCTTGCATTCCCAGTGGCTCCTGCATTCAGAGGCTTCTCTGTCGGGCCCCAACGCACCTGCCTCCTCCCCTTCCTTTCCAAGCACCCCGCTGCTCTGGGCTCGCCCTTCCTTCCGTCCGCCTCCCTCCCCCATCTTTGCCTTGGGCGTCCAAGGCTGCATTTCGCCCTGACACCCTTCACCCCGGGCCTTTGTGCTGGCGACATGCCCTGGGACCAGGCTCCAAGCCTGGAGGAACCCACCGCCCGCTCCTTTCTTGCCAGGCGGCCCCGGACCCCCTCCCAGCTCACGGGGTTCGCCGTGGCTCCGGCCCTCACATGCCTGGCACCGGATTGACTCACTCTCCCATCGGCAGCGGGGAATAGCTCAGTCCTTTCAATGCTCTTACAACGGGCACCCACCATGACAGGTGGGTGTCCCTGCCTATGGGCGTGTGCATGTGTGCACACACACCTTCAGGCTAGGCAGACAACCATGCCTCCCGCCTCCCGTGAGAGAGACCCTCAGCGACCTGCCACCTCAGCCTCCCTCAAAGGACGTCGCCTCTGCTGTCCCCGCCGTCTCCATTCTGCTCACTCCACGCACGAGCCGCCCTCTTGGAAGGCCAGCCCCTCCCTTGGACGGCGTCTCCTCTCAGGACCCTTCCACCTCTCCTTCTGCCCCTGAACACTCCCCCTCAGCCAGGTCCTTGAGGTGGCTTGTCACCAGGTCCAAGCCCTGCGCGTGAGATGACAGACCACCATCGGTACGACGGCGAAACCCTCCTTCCAGTCTCATCCCCTCCGGCCAACGCCCTACCTCCACCCTCCTGTGTGGCCAGATCCTCCGCAGCTGTGTGTCTGTGGCCTCCGTGGCCGCCGTGGCCTCGCCTCCCACTCACTCCCCAGGCCTCTCCTGGCGGGCCGGTGCTCCCTGAAACGTGGCCCAGGGGTGCTGAAAGCCAGCGCACGCGTCCGGGTTCTCATCGTGCTTGACTTCCCAGTTGTGCCTGGCACCGACGACCGCACTTGGCCTCGGGTCCAGTCCCTCCCTTTGGCCGGTGCCAGCACGTCCCTCCCCGGGGTTCCCCACCTCCCTGCACCCTCCTCACCCGCCTTTGCTGGTTCCTCTTCTCCTGCCAGTCCTTGCTGGTCGGCGGCCTTGGCGCTCACTCGGCTTAGCTCCGCTCTCACTTTAATCTCCCCTCCCTCCAGCTGATCTCACCTGACGCCCACAGCTTCATTACTAAGGATGCAAACGAGGTGCTATTTCAATCCCCAGCCCGGTCCTTCCCTCCGCGCCTAACTGCCTACTCGATGTTGCCACCCCATGTGGCAAGACGACCTTGCGAGCGGGTGACCCACACAGAGTCCTGGCCCGCCACGGAAGCTGCCATCCGCCCGGCGATGGAGCCTGGGACCCGTCCCTGGCCTTCCTTCTTCCCAGGCCAACCCATCGCCAGCTGTGTCGGTATCACCTCCTCAATATTCCCCAAGTCCCCCGGCTTCTCTTGGCTTCGCCCACCAGCCTGCTGTGCTGTCGCCGGGTCTTGCCTGGGCGACACCCAAAGCCTCCCTGCAGGTGTCTCTGCACCTTGTTGCTCTTCGGTTTACTCTGCACGTGGCCTTTTAAGCCCCAGACCTGAGCGTGTCCCTCACCTACTTCAAGATGTTCCCACAGCCTCCCGCTTCCCAGAGTAAACGCTGACATCTTCATGTGTCTCCGTCGGCTCCTCTGACTTCGCCACGCTTCACAAAGCCCCCTGCTCCTCGGTCCGTGTTGGGACATTCCGTCGGCTTTTTTGACGCCCACGTGGGGTCAGTACTGTTCCTGCTCCTGGAATGCTCTTCCCACTTCCCCGCTCTTCTCATCCTCTGGTTAACTCCGGCTTCTTCTTCAGACCACCCAGATGAGGACAAGTCCTCCTAGGACGTGTGTTTATAGTACCATTCCTCTGCTTCTTCGTGGCGTGTCTGTCGTGGTCACAGTTTCACATTTGTTTGTGTGACAAAGTGATTCATAAGTCAGGTTTTTTGGTCTGACTTGCTCTCTCTAAACTCACTGTTTGACCAATAGTAATGGCCCAGTAAGTGTTTGATAAATGAATGAACGAGTTGAAATAAAATTAAGATCACCGGTTTACCCCTAAGCAGTGATACTGACTGGGAGTGAGCCAGAGAGGCTCTTAGGGTGAAGAAAAGTTCTGTATCTTAATGGAGAAGTTACACAGGCATACGCTTATGGAAAGATGGAAAGTTTGAGTTAATTTCCACTTCGGCTAAGACAAAAATCATTGATCTTGGACTCAAAAATAGTTGTAAACAGAAGACAGGACAAAACATATAAAACAACTGAGATGCTGGAAAAATACATCGAGCAATTCAGACTCCGGACAACAGATACAGAAGGAAAACAAACAAGGCAAATACTAGGACTGTGGCAATTTCTGCCTAATGGCACTTTCTGGACACAAGAGAGAAACCCAAGGAGAGCATGGTAGGTTTGCTAAACCTACAAGATGGACATCAGAGCTTGAGAAAGTTGGAGAAGCTACGATGTGTGCAGAGTACCAGAGAGGAGATCTTTAGAAATGTACTTAGGGGTCTTTGTAAGTCCAGAGCTAAGTGCTAACCTCTGCCTGCATAAGTGAAATTTTATAGGGCTAGTCAACACACACACACACACACACACACACACCAAACCAAACCAAAACTACTGTGAAGACATAAGCAGAACTATGCTCAGAGTTCCAAAGTGGGGTTATATTCAGGTTATGGCCATCTGAAGAGGGAAGGCCCCAAAGTGTCACATCTTAGCATTAGGGTTAAGTTAATTTCTATTTGGAACTACACTAGGCCTTCCATAACGAAGCTTGAGAACATGCCTACACAATCAAGCAGCTCTACAAGTAAGCTAGTTGCTCATGAGAACAAATGTCCACCCACTGTAAGAAAGACAATAACAATGAAATGTTATGATGTCTACTATCCAAAAAGAAATCGCTAGATAATCTAAGACCATAAGAAAAATTAGACAGTAGAAATAGACCCAGACATAACAGAGATTAAAGAATTAGAAGACACTAACTTTAAAACAGCTCCTTGAAATATGCTTCAATAAGAAAAACATGACTATAAGAAAAATAAAAACCATTAGAAAGCATAAACTTGGACTTCTGGTGGCAAAAATTCAGTGTCTGAAATGAGAAATTTGCTGGCTAGGCTTAAGAGCAAATTTTAATTGTGTAGAAGAAAAAGATCACTGGTCTTGGAAACAGATCCACAGAAACTATCCAAACCGAACAGAGCAAGCTGGAAAAAAATAACAGAGCCCCAGAGACGTGTGGGATGATGTCGATGGTCTAACATATGTGTAATTGGAGTCCTGGGGGTGCGGGGGGAAACATCAGCAATAATAATAGGAAAGAGAAGAGCGGAGAAGACCAAGGGCTGGAGAAGAGCAGAGAATACCAAGTGCTGCAGAAATGTTGGTGATATCTGTGTGCTTTTCTCGATGCACCTATACCTGAGTACAATACAATGAGAAGAATGCTTCCCGCCACTTCCTGGCCACTCTGTGGGATGCCGGGCAGCTCGGCCTGTCTGGACCGCCCTCTCACTGTCCACGCCTGGCACTCTCCTTGCCCTCCTGCAGGCTCTGGCTCGAAGCCACCCGCAGCACAGAGACCTCTCTGGATCCCACAGAAAGTCTGCCCCTCCCTTATCAATGCCTGGAACAGACCGCAGCCGTTTACTGCTCCCGCGTCTGTCTCCCTGATTGGCCAGTCTGGGCCACGTGTGGCTTCCTCCAGGGCAGGGACGACAACCGGCAGGTTGTGGAGGGACAGAGAGGACAGTCCAGGGAGGGTGAAGACAGAGAAGGGAGGGGGAGGGCCGTGGGAGGAATGCCGGGAGCCCTGTGGGCCAGGCCCAGCTGACTCACCCACCCCAGGGACTTTTCTGAAGACTTACACAGTCGGGAAACCACAGGGAGGCAGCCTGAAGGAGCTTGACATTTCCCATGCTCAACTGGGTTCTCATTAAAATGAATTCTTGCTGGGCTCGGTGGCTCAGCCTGTCATCCCGCGCCTTTGGGAGGCTGAGGTGAGTGGATTGCCTGAGCCCGCGGGTTCGAGACCCGCCTGGGCAACTTGGCAAGACCTCGTCTCTACAATAAATTAAAAACTAGCCGGGCATGGTAGTGCGCGCCTGTAGTTCCAGCTCCTTGGAAGGCTGAGGCGGAAGGATCGCTGGAGTTGAGCAGGTCGAGGCTGTGGTGGCCGGGAGCGGCCACAGCACTCCAGTCTGGGAGACAGAGTGAGACTCCAACTCAAAATAAAACAAAACAAAAAATGCAAATCCGCAGGCTCCATGCAGAACTACCGAGTCAGATTTTCCAGGGAAAGATGAGAAGACTTGAAAGTGAGGAGAGCTGGGTGCTTCACCCCACCTTACCCCAACCTCCGGCCAAGAA